ATAAAAGCGTAAATCAAAGAAAAACAGTTTTTTTTTCATTGGATATTTAACTCTAGAAGAGCAAATCAATTCGAGTTCATTGATTGAATTAAATCTGATAAAATGTTCCAATCACGCAGTACCATAGTATATTTCAAAGCTTTCAGTAAAAGTGAAGATCGATTTTTGCGTTAAACATAACCAGCTATGCTAAACAATCCTTCACTTACTACAGAAGTAGCTGGACGTATGTTGTATGATTTTACTAAATCAAACATTCCTGGCAATTCATTTTGATAACGATTCCAAAATTGTTCGAATGTATTATTTTCTTGTACACGATCAACGTAAAATGCTACTTCCTCTTCCCCTGATCGTTGATTATTAGAAGTTTTAGTTGTGGATGATACGAAATCTGTTAAACCACATTCACTGAGAAAATGATCCAATGGATCCATGATTTCTTCTTCAATTGGATTTGCGCATGAGTCCTGATGATTCTGCTCAATTGCAGATTTGGACTGAGCTTATTGATGATTATTTGTTCGGCAACATATTTATCTTCATCAAGCATTTTTCGATAGACTTTTGGATCAAGATAAGCAGCAATCTAAATAGAATGTAGCAATAAAATACAGCTCAAATCAATGAGGTTCGAAAATTTGTCTGTCCTTTTGGTTACATCGCCAAGCTTGATCGCTGACTATAACAGGCACCTGCATGATCTCGTCGTCAATCGTGATAGACCTAAGAACCCGGAACTCAGGTGGGCTTCGTTCCTAAGCACTGGAAGACTCACCTGAAAATCCATCTACAGAAGTTTTTGACTATCTGAAGACATATAGATATACATATATTTCAAGTTGTATCGAGATACTCTGGGTTCCCGGATACCTGAGAATGCAAATCACCCCAAGTTCTGGATTCCGGAGAACACGAACTCGAAAGAGTATAGTAGGAATGGAAAACGTGCCCAGCTTTTGTGTTCTTCAAAGATAAATTAGAAAATGACATTTCTAGTGGATTTCCGTTTCTAGAAACCCGAGAACCCAGGTTGGTTCACGTTCTCCGCAAACCTGGAATCCAGAGTGACTCGCTACAAATTGAAGTGTATGTATAGGTATGTCTTCAGGTAGTCGAAAATTTTTGTATACGAGTTTTCAAGCCGCTTCCTGTTTCCTAAGAATGGAGTCCTAAGAAACTGGAATTCTGACACCCCTAACCGCAGTTCTAAAATATTCAGTCGAGTATGATGAAGAAATATGTATGTCAGTAAGTGAATCATACATGTTTTGACTTATTTAGGAGTAAAATGTGGGTCTTACATTTGAAGTTTTTTTCTACCATGTATGCTGTAGCTTACTGTTTGTGTCGATATGACGTCAAGCTTTTAGAACTATAGTTTATAATACAACGTAGAAACAGACATGGATAAATAGATCTAAGTATCGTCATCGCTAGTAGAGAGATTATTTTTAACTCAAACAAAACTTTCCGTGTTTATTCTTATTCACGAAGTCTAACTTTAAATGTGCTTGGAAAATTCTTCAAAGAACTTGATTTTGCAATCTATATACCCATTATTCAATTTAGTATGACTTATGAAATAAAAGTGAATCTAAAAATCTTAGTTAACTTGCTAGAATCGCTTCCTTTTGTTCAACACTTAATTTTTCATCGAAATGATATTTAAAAGCGATAAGTAAATATTCTTTTATTATATTTTCGATTTTAGCTTGTGGACTTGATGATGGTTGTGTAATAACATGACATAAGCCATGTTTGATAACATAAACAATTGATAAAGTTTGATAGTGTTTACCTGACAGCCATTGGCAAGCTTCATAAATTTTGGAGAGAACATTACGTGTTGAAATCAAGTGATCTCAATCGTCTTCGGTAAATATCATTTTTTTTCAAATTTTGCACAACTAAAAATGGTAAATTACTAATAGCACTACGATGGAGAATCGTCATGCTTTCTATAACAGTTTGGTAATCGATGAAACGATTGAGCATGATATAACACGAGTTCCAGCGAATTTCACAGTCCAATATTAGACCCTACAATATTCAAAACACATGCATATTTATTTTTACTGTTGAGAGAAATTCTGAGCAGTGTCGTGAGGTAGCTTTCCTACTGTGTCTTCATAATCAATTGGTAGGAATGGACTATTTTCTTATTTATTGAAAAATCTGGAAATGACACAGTAATACATAGTTGATGACGGAAGAACGAGAGAAGTTAAAAAGCTGAAATGGGTTTATTATTCGTCAATGTATTCTTAGAAAGCAAGATCTCAATGATACTTACTACTGCAAAAGTTAGCTTTCGTTCGAATCAAAAGCCTCACATTTTTTTTCAACCTAGGTTATTTCATTGAAAAATAGCAGAGGAGTCTCATAGCGCTGGATACTTTGCATTTGTTGTTATCAAACCTTTCGTTTCCAAAAGAAGGAAAATATATTGCAGAAAATACCTATAATTTCGTTTTGCCTGTTAAATTTTCAGAAATATTCAATCAAATAAGCTGCTCTCTGTGAAAATACTTTTAATGATATTGTCTCACATTCAGTAACGACTAAATGTTTTTAAATATTAAGGACATGACGCCTATCAATGTTCTTAGATAAGAAAAGCACTATGATGTCACGATTCGAGACAAAAAATATTTCTAGGTTTAAGCATATCAGAAGACAGGAGCTGCTCAAGTATAGTGCACTAAAATGAAGAGTTTAGACAGTTGAAATGAAACCAAAAGGTATTCAGAGTTTCGAAGTAAGTATGGAACCTTTAAAAAGGACTAAATAGTACTCCCAGAATTTTTTAGACAGTTTTGAAACAATGAATATACTTGGATTAGACTTCGAATTGGTTGAAATTCTGCTAACGCGTTTGAAACCGTGTGTCGCGAATAAGGTCATTATTATATTACATTGCGTACGCTAAATTTTCTTGATATTATGCATGGTAGTATTTGTTTTTCAAGAAAGTCAATAACTCTCGTGCGTTATGTAGATTAAGATTATTTTAAGTTTTTTACAAGCTCTACAAACCGAATAGGCACTAAAGTACATGTTATTTATCCGCCAATTTTACAATTTGTCGATATAATTAGTGAAGTTTTTTCAGTTCTAATCCTGATGATATTCACTGTCCATAGACTTTCAATTTCAAATTGACAAACTATATTTCTAGTATGGAAATAATTACTTACATCACCAGGTAATTTCTTTTCCTTTTTTTGTTGCTGAACGTATTTGTGTAGATTTGATGATTTACAAACAAGACTGACGAGTCTACGAATTCGTTTAACTAATAAACGAATTTCTTGTAAAGTTGGATCTGTCTGAACATTAATCGATGGAATTTCATCATTTTGCTCATCTTCAGAAGATAATGAACTTTTGTCTTCATCAGTAGATATTTGAGTGTTGGATGTTGCATTTTCATCATTGTCACCAATTTCTGCAATGAATTTAAATACGAGGATCTAAAGAAGATGTTTTTGATTAATAGCAATAGAAAAAAGCTGTTAGCGCGATCCCTTGCGGGATTAAAAATGTGAAACACGATGTACCCAGTACCAATGATGAAACACATATTTTCTTTTAACGAACTAATCGATATGATGTTCAAGTATTTTAGGATTTTAAATATTATTTATCAAATTCTGCAGAATGAAATGAGAACACTGTAGGAAATTAGTCTATAGACAATGTACAGAATGTAATAAAAAGATTTTAATTGGTTTTTAGTATTGCCAACAGTGTATATGAATTTTTCTAAGAAAAAACGCAGAAACAAAATGTGATAGTTTTGTTTTGCTGAGGTTTAGTATATTTTTTTGTTTTATGAGGATAGTACTATCAATTTGATTGAATAGTTATATTTAGTGGTTTGATGATATAGGAACAGAAATGATCGTGTATCTGAATTTGGTACGAATGAGTATGGGAATGCTATTGATTTAAAGTCTATCTGAAGCAACGTAAAAGGTATGAAATTGTTGTCTGTTTTATGATGTTTTGAGACAATCATAGTTAAATATTTATACATGAAAGAAAATGTAAGAATCTATATCAATGATTAGATAGAGTGAAAGTGTAGAATGAAGACTTGAAGTACCATAAATATCTTGATGGTAAAAATGGTGGAATTTGAAAATAAAAAAAGCTATGAATTACTTCTTAAAGTGTTGGGAATTTAGAGATGCTTAGTTTTATTCATATTTAATAAAATTTATTTAGTCATCCTAAATATTGTTTAATGTAATGGTATTTATATGCATAGTTTTTGGATTAAAATTAATAAAAACATTCATCGAAGATAAGGCAAGTAATACATCTTCATCTTCCACTAAGTCGTTTCGACAAAGTTGTTCATGATTAGATTCTTGTAATAAAACTTGAACTTTTGATCTTTCAACAATGAATTCAAATATATTATGATTAATATCGGTTACGTGAAGTTTTATTTCGTTTTGTTGGATTGAATCTTTTAAATACAATGATCTTGATTTACATATTATACACTTTATAGTCTTGCCATTATATTCAACGCCAGTTGAATAACATTTTGGACAAAGACAAGGCTGCTCTATTACTTCAATTGCTGTTATTATACCTGCTATTGATGAATCTTGTACGATGTTAATAAAATCGCAAGAAGCAACATCACCGATGTTTTCGATAGGTTCAAATCTAGAAATATTTCTACATGTTTTGTCAGAAGTATATATTAAGGGATATTTCTGAATTTGGAAACTGTTTATAAATAAATTAAGTAAAAATAAGGACAAATAATAGAAAAGCTCAAGTTGTATGTGTTGTCGTTGTTACAGGCATTTCATCATTAAATATTTTCACTTTTGCTAATTTAATTAAGTAATATTGATCCTTTTCTATAAATGTAAAATTATTCTCCCAAAAATTTAGTTTGATGTAATCAGTTTTATCAGCCACTAGAACTTCTTTTTTTAACTTGTGAATCCTTTTATTTACATTATTAAACAATACAACTTCCTCCTCAAGAAGAAAAGATTTCGTAAGAAACTTTTTTTTAGAATGCTGACTGAGCCAACGTCAATAATTTTACATGGAAATGTTACATATTCTCCGTCTGACATAGATTGAATGTTTTTGATTGTTGTATTTTGAATGCATAAGGGTTTGAATGATAGATTTATTGATGTAGCTATCGTTCCAGATGTAACAACATATGCATTTTGTTAGCGGATTCACCTTCTTATGGTTACTTTTCTTTATTTTTATTTTCCTCTTTCTTCTTATTAGATCTATCTGATGTTATATAACCTCGATCACTCTTTATTCTTTTGTCCTTAAGTTTAA